AAAAAAAAAAAAAAAAAAAAAAAGACATAGTTGTACAAGAGAGGCAGTAGCAGAACAGTGGTGAGGGAAAGGTGTGTGTCTCCATCAATGCTTGTGTATATCACAGGGGGAATAACTGAATAAGCTCTACCTTAGCACCAGGGGCAGGAGACCCTGGTGTGACAGTGTGAGGAGTCACAGTCAGACAGGAGATCCACTCACTTATTTGTGTAGCCAGACACATAGCTTCCTTCTTTTCCTTGATATTGTTTTAGTCTACCTAAATATGTGGAAGGAAGAGAGGTGTGGTAAGCTGTGTTCCTTACCTTTAGTTCATCTGATTAATCTAGGGGCTGCCTGGGACAGTATGTTATCTTACTTCATATGCAACCTAGAAGGAAGATACGGTTCCAGTTTTACAGATGAGGAAACTGAGTCTCCAAGAAGCAAAACTACTGTCCAAGGATATCCAGGCAAAATTAACAGTGTGAGATATGACCTTAAACCTGGGTGACACCAGAGTTGTCTATCCTCCCCACTCCCAGAAATATAACCATACCAGGGAGGTGACAGGAGAGTCGCAGTCCCTTCCTTAAACTAACATCTCTTCCGAGCAGGTGCCCTGCCCACACCTCTTCTTTTGTGCTCTGCAGCACATTCAATGAGACCATGAAAACTTCACCCAGATCCTGTAGATAGAGATCTGGGTACTGGGTGTAAAACTGCCACTGTGTCCCTGAAGACACCACCTCCAGAACCTGTCCTGGAGCTTCCCTGGGTACCCAGTGGCATGGAACAGAGGCATCAGGGGTGCTGGGAGTGTAGAAAGGTGAGAAGGTGGTGAGTGGCTCTCGGGGAGCAGAGAGGAGCAGGACAGACCTCTGCAAATTGCAACAGGGCAAGGCCAGGGGTTCAGTGTGGTGAGAACAGGGTTGATGGGGAACAGGGGACATGAACTGGTACCAGCATCACACAGATCTGACCCATAAGAGACTACCAGGATGGAGCCTGTTACCCCAGGCTCTTTGGGAGTGGTTCTTTTATATTATTTATTTATTTATTTTTGAGACTGGGTCTCACTATGTCACTATGTAATTCTGTCTGGCCTCTGGCCTTGAACTCACTATGTAGCCCAGCCTGGCCTCGAAGGATGGGTCTTTTTTAGTTCATGGTTCATA